CCATGAAAGTTTACCACATTGTCTTGAGCTACCTGTAAATTTTTAACCACGAATGATGTAAATCCCTACTGACCGGTAAATTTTCTGCAGGCAAAGAGGCCCTTGCTATGGTCTCACCTAGGGTTGCTGCTACGGTGCACATATTCATGGTAAATCTGGATGGTAAGAGCACCTACACTTTTTATATAGCCTAGAGAGCACTTGTGCATGCATGAAAATTTACCACATTGGCTAAAAGGACCACAGGCCTCACCTGGGGTTGCTTCCTTCCCTGTAAAAATTAGGTGCCAGGAAGTTCCTCTATGTAAAAGGAGAAGGCAGACAGGCCTCACCTGGGGTTGCTTCCTTCCCTGTAAAAATTAGGTGCCAGGAAGTTCCTCTATGTAAAAGGAGAAGGCAGAGTGATGTAAATTCCCATGGTAACTTCCTGCATGCAAAGGACACCTACAGTTTTAGATGGTGCTTGCATGCATGCTCAATCAATTTTTCATCTGCTCCATTCAATGCATCCACTTGCTTCAGCCTACCATGGCATGCATGGAGGTACGACTTCATGTGGGTCATGGAGGCACTACTTCATCTGGGTCGTGGAATTTCTATCTAATGCACCAACTAAATGGAACATACGTGGACACCCTGGGAGGCCGCCTTGACGGTGTGCCTTCATATTTTTAATTGTATGGGTGACAGGTGACCCACCCTTGGGTGGGGCATATGCCGATCTAGAACTTGGAGTTCTAAAGCATAATCTGATCCAGGCTTATACAATCTTTGTTGTTAGTGATATGTTTTTAACAGTCTTGCGAAAAACAATGATAGCTCAGTCATACATGGTGATGGCGAGAACATAAGATGCTTTCAGTGATGATGTATAAAATCTTTGTAAAAAAGATGCATCACCATACTGCTATTTCGTTCATAGATTCTTTGTTTTGTGGATACCTGTTTTTTTAGCATGCAAAGCCTACGCACCATAGCCTTTGAGAAGTTCCATGATTTTTAGAGAAGTTCCAATTGAATGGTTGTCTAACATAAACCTCAATGTATCGTCCTTTTCACTTGCTCCTTCGATGATCCGTAGGAACATAAAAAGATCTTCTTAGTGCCATTTCCTTTCGCTGCTGCTACAATGCAGTTTGTACAAACATAGATAACATTCCAGTTCGGTGGTAAACCCATATTCGGGTGTCAGCATTCAGATTTATTAAAAGCAAAGCTTCAGTCTAGATTCTTAATGTTTGGTTCATGCTTAATTCCTACATATCAGTTGTAAACAATGATCTTAGTGAATAAACCTTCTCCCACAAATACTTATGTGCGGGCTGCCACGTGCCAAATGTCTTACCATCTTTTCGAAGAAAATGCTTTTTAATGTCATTATTATTTCTAATTTGTAATAGCCTGTCCAGTTCTTCTTACTCCATACTTGCAGTTAAACCTGCTACCAATGGTTGCACGGTATTTTCATTTCCTTGATTTGTGGACAAACACAAATTTGTTTTGCCTATGTAAGGTCTGCCCATTGCCGTATGCACATGCCAGGATCTGAAGAAAGTTTATATTTAGATGTAAATTTAGGTATGGAGCTGCTACTTAGATTTCGAGTTGTTTAATGGATTAGATACGTGTTCAAGTTCTAGAATTAAATCACTTTTATGAAGTCGTCATATCAATAGTTCTGCTAACATACAGAGCGATTTGTACTACCATAAGATATATGGTAAAAAATGTGACCCCACTAAATCATAGAGTGACATCATCCTACCACATGAATAATTGCACTTTTAGTTTGTTTCAACGTTCTTCTAGAGAGAAATGTACTGTCATTAATTTGTACTGATTCTAGAGAGTGACCCTGAAACTAATGTTCTCATAGCAGAGCAGCCAAGTAGGTTCCAAAATGATTTGACAACCAAGCAGCAGGATTGTCTTTGTTGTATTTTAGTGCAGACACAATGCCAGCCATTTTCAGAACATGCATTGGCACAGTTACTATTTGTAATTTAAGCATGCCCATTGTATTCCGAATCCATTATATAGCTACACCAGTTAATTTTTGGTTGATGTACTGTCAATGATAACTCTGTTCACGTTCTATGCTTCCTACTGTGTAATCTTTATCATTATCTGAGGTGATGGTGACCAAGGGCGCTGTACTGTCCTTTACATTTCCAAATATGGAACATATATAATATATTATATATACCTATGTATACAGGAAAAAGTCTACGTAACCTCTCGTAGTGGTTTTGCTGACGTGTCATTCCAAGCTGGCTTACATTGACACGTTGGTGTTTGGGCCCACACGTCATAGACAAGCAGACGCATAGACGGCTTCTCGGGGGTGCCGTTATAACTGCGACCTCGGCGACTTCTTCCACGGGCGCTAGCAGAGGGAGAGAAAAGGGAGCAGAGGAGCGGCAGATGGCCTCGCAAACTACCGCCGAAGATGCCATGCCTTCCGCGGAGCTACGGCGACGGCTGTCCCGCGCGGGAGTTCCGCCGCGCGCTCGAGTCCTTCCTCGACGGCAACGGCTTCGGGTCTGACGAGCCGGCGCCGCTCCCTACCGACGTTGCCGTGCTCTACGACGTCGTCTTCGAACATTTCGACGCGACCACAGCGGCCCCGTCGACCGCGCCAAGTTCCGTGATGAGATGCGCCGCATCATGCTCGCCCTGCTCAAGGCTACGGAGGAGCACGCCAGGCTGCTCAAAGCCGCGGAAGAGAACGCCCAGGTGGAGGTCGCGTGAGGCCAGGGCCAGCCGCGGTTCCAGCCTTCCAGGCGGCGGTCGTGGAGAACGGCTTTCCCTTTACCTCTGAAGTAGTGAAGTTGCCGCTGCTGTCTTGTCTGCACGTCCGTCCTTATCCTGTCTATCACCCACGGTGTGCATCCAGTGAACCACAACAAGCTCCATGCCCATTACGTTCTTGAGTGAATATCCACATGGCCGACGATCGGTTCAAGGAGGCTCTGGTTGGTCATTGGTGGGCCCTCGGGCCATAGTGGCACCGGATTCCAGCTAGACTGCAAGCATTAGCGGAGCCATGAACAGTGGCATCCGGAACAAATGTTCCAGCTAGACGGGGGGGCTGCTGCCCCTAGCCCCCAAGATCCGCCAATGACTGCAAGTATGAGCAAAACCACCTTACAAAACCATGATAAGGGGTTATTTGAATGGTATTGTATAGCTTAAGGTGCACAATATCCGATTTCGTAGATTAGGGGGTGAAGTAGACTACCTGTCATAGGTTAAGGGGTTATATAGACTTTTTCCTATATATACATCTGTGCACTGTTTTTTACCATTTCACAATCCATAAATTGAACATATGTTTTCTATATATATCACCTACCCTCTGCTCAACCACGCGTGCTATGGCGCATTTGTATGACATACGCAGCCACATGTAATATATACATCCTCTAAGTGCGTATGCATCAATGTGACTTAGGTGTGTATGTTGCCTGTATAAACCTAAACATACTCACTCGCTGCTTCGTACTGGTGGAAGTATCAATGGAGGTGTAACCTATGCGTGCATGAAGACACATGCCACAAAACGTCGATGGTGAGGGACACATTGGTGATACATCACATCGATAAAAGTGTATCAATTAATTAAATTAATGAATTAAGAATCCAAATCGTGTACCTCATGTTATAGTCGATGGATTTGCATGTTATGGGTTTGCGTAGAGTGCGAACTATTGATACTTATACACCATGAGTCAATTAGTGACAAAGATGAACATTGCCAATTCCCTCGTTAGTGAAGTAAAACTTCATTAGGATCCTTCCTTCGTCTTGCTGACTTCATCTTCATCTTTTCTTAGTGCTTAGTAGAGAGCGTTCATGACAATGTGTTAAAGTGTGCAATGTAAATGAACAAGAATTTGAAATAACTTATGTTTCGGCATTCATCTGATCATGAAAATATATACATGGTGAAAACTGAAGTGGTATAGTGAAAAGGTGTCTTGTCCCAGGCACGTTTGGATGGGGATAGAGATAGGAAATGTATTGGGATAAAAGAAAAGGACGCTAGTCTTTATTTCCCATCTCTATCTTCATTTCCCATCATCCAAACATGGGATGAAATCTATTCCACCCCTCATTTCCCTATCCAAATCATTTCCCATTTGCCAAACACCAGTTAAGATAACACAACCATTTCCACTCTCTGTGCCAAAGAGCATACCCTTTGGTGACTATGGTAACTGTCTAATATAATTACTAATACCTACTCTAGTTTCTACTTTAGTTTTGATAACATCACCTTGTTTAAATAGGTATGTATTTATAACACCTTCCATGTGTAGATCCATGATGCATGAATCGAATGAACGTATGTACTATTTAACAAACTGCTATTTTCACGTTAAGTAGCTCAAAGCAAGCAGCAGGGGACGTCTCCTGAATGATATTTTTCGTTTCCACTGCTGAATGAAAATCGGAACATGAGACCCTCACAACAAAAAGTGAACATTAATAAATAGGGTTACATCTGTACCTGCAGTTTAGACTGATTTCATCGTTGCAGAATCAGCTCCGCTCCCTTGTGACCTTCAGTCTGTTCGCTTGGTCGTATTTGACTTATAAGACATGGCTTATCAGCCAACCAACAGTTTTTTTTTCACACCAAACCAGCCAACAGTACTTTCAACCATAGCTTACAAGTCAAACAAGTCAAAACGAACAGAGCACTTGTAAGGTAACATGGTGGTATAAGACAGACCCGTCCATTGAAAATATGGAGGTACCTGAATAAGACCGACACACATACACAATTGCTGCACAACCTAAAAGACTTAATCTACAGTGACACAAACGTGTCTCAAAATATGTACAACTGGTTACATGGCAATCACAATCTTGAAGTCATTTGGATCTTAGTGATTCCATTGCCAAAAATTCTACTTCATGCGTTTCTGCACAAACCTATAAACGAAAAACTCCAATTGAAATGAAAATCTATACATCAGAGGCATAGCCTAGATTCAGGTTCCTGACTCAAATAAATTGTCCACGTGATTGTCCAATTGCTCAGCAGTCATATACTTACCCTGCTGACCAGAACAATGCTTCCGAATTAAGAGCATGGAGCGCAAAAGTAGCTTCTTCCGCAGCTCTTGCAAGAATGTACGATAACATGGAGTAATGTAGTTTTTTATTTCTTCTCGCAATTTGTTCTTGAGGTTGGTTTCAAGTACCCACGTCCCTTGGCAGTTAATGATAGCTTCAAAGTGTAGTATGAATTCACCCAATGATGCCAAGCAGGGTTTACTCCCAGAACTGAGTTCCACACATTTCCCAACTGGGCCCCAGCATTTGACAAGGTATTCTGTGGTGTACATAGTGATCAGAGACTCCAAGAACTCAATGATCTTACCATACTCACTGTTCGGCACTAATACTTGCAATGGCTTCTTTGTTTCCCAAGTAAAATGAGTCATATTGTTCAATAGGAAAATGTACCTTTTACCTTCAGCATATGAATCAGAGTGTCTCTTGAGTTCATCTGCCCAGTATCTTATCACCTCAAGAACAAGATCGCCCAATGAACTGGTGGCATCAGCAACAAAAATACACCGAACTATACTGTTGTGATTCGCAAACAGTTCCATCGAGTGTATAAGAAAATTGGTCATTGGATGCCTGTCATGTGTTATTTCACATGAACCATTCAGGTTAGCACCTATGAAGATTTTAATCCTATCAAATATTCCTTCAAAATTAACCTGCATCTGCAGAAATATTCTGCTGGATACATTTGGATCAGAAATGGCTCGAAGGACATCAGCAATTGCTTCATAGAGAATTAGCATTGGATAGATGTCAGAAGCAGACCACTTCCACTTACTAACTAAATCTGCAGCATCAATGAGATTCTGTATAGGTTGTCTGGCACACAAGGCGAAATAGCAGTCTTTTAGGTCCTGGTCAAACGATACGCATTCAACTTCATTTAATTCACTCTTCATCAAACAAAGTAGCCCAGCCATGACCTTAAAGTTCATAACACATCTCTTTGCCGATTCACAGTCAACCATACAGGTCCATGCATCTATGGAAAGACCAACTGAGTTGAAGAAATCGCACAAGAAGCTGTTTCATGAGAAGTGTTCAAGGTTAAAATTTTGGTAGAACTGGAGAAGACTAATTGAAATGCAACATAAATACAGAAAACAGAATCAAAGCTCGTACTCTAGTACTGGATCCTATGGGCTATGGGCTATGGTATACTAGGAACCAAAAGCAGGCACGAACAAATGCATGCACAAAAAGGAAAAGCATAGTGGAAGAAAGAGACCATCCATGATGGATATTCAGGGGTTCATAAGGTGACGTTAGAAAAGTTTCTGGACAGAACAATTAGCTGATGTTACTATTCCTTGCACACATGTCAATTTGAATGCGTACAGATCACAAGTCAACTTTATTTAGCTAAAAAATAAATATGGCCCACTGCAATCAAGATGCACAGAACCATCAAATAACTGGGATGCCTTTAGGAGTTTCCCCTACTGTATTTCCCTAAAAAAGGATAAAGAATCTAAGGACACCTGTCTTCATGGGATAAAATCGGTATAGCCAGTAGCAAATAAAGAATGAATCATGTGAACTCTTACATATATGCAGGGCTATTTCAAAACATGCCAGTGTGGAAAATATATGAATGATGCTTTCAATCAACATTCTTTTCCAGGGAGTTGAATGGAAGAATGATTGGCATGAATGCATGTGTAACAACATGAATGTGGATGTTAGGCACAAGCTATAGCCTATAAGAGAAACAAGAAGATATGTGTAACTCAACTACAATTCAGCCTTGTGGTTGACTTGGCTACTTAAGATCTCTATGTCATTGCAATGTCTTCTCAAAACCCTTCTATATTTCTAAGTTTTCTTGAAGTTGTTTTGTCATTTGTGGAGCCATAACCTCTTGATGCATCCATACAGATTCTCCGAACTGGAATCCGCTACACATAAACCTGGCCGACATAAAGCACACAGACCCTTATCCAAATCCCAACTGCTACATTGTGCAGTAAGTGTTGGTCTCTCTATTCCTCCAATAGTGGTGGCCCTCATAGCAAGAGGAAGCCCATTTTTCCGACACAGAGTACATGCCTAAATTGACCTTGCAGAGCTCAACACCCAAGAGTGACACACTAATAAAAAATGGACATGTACACAAAGCCTAAGAGAGTGGTATAGAATAACAAAAAAGAGAGATCAAGGCTTGCCACTCAAGAAGTCACAGTAGAAGATTTGAGTGTCCAAATTGAGTTCAGTCATTCAGGTAGTCGGTACTCAGTATTGCTAATTGAATCCATGAATCTTATCTGTGCGAAACTTAAAAGTAAAAAATGCTTCATATACTACACTGTCATTTTAATTGTTTGAAACATGCAAAACAAACAGAAAGGTGATTTTTTTTCATAGCTTATTTACTTAACACCAGTTGCAAATAGATGGCATTGGCATTTTCTTAAAAGCCAAAGTAAGGCATAGCATGATATAGCTGACCTAAAAGTTCTCCCATGGAAATGTGTTGGCTGCAGTTTTCCAGCAACTAACAGTTGATAACAAAAGCTCAGAACCAAAAGGGCCAAGTAACCCCCTTAAACATGAGACCTTTTGTAGGTCACTCAAAGTAAACTACACAACTAGTCATCCTAGGATAAATTAGTAAACATGATGCACATAGCAAATGTAAAAAATCCCATGCATTATTTCAAAATAAAATCGAGTTTCTTCAGACTGAAATGGAGCAACTGTAGGTGGATTTTTCATTTAGGAAATAGCCTTACGTTGTTCACCAATCAACATTAACAAATGCAAACACAAAATTATGGACAAGATAATTTATATTTAATATTAATATTGACATGTTGAATATCAAATAGAGGCAGAACACATTTCAATAGAGATTTTATCTATGATTATTAAAAGCTTAGGCTTTCAGCTTACCTGTCTACCACATTCGAGTTCTCTTCGAAGAGATCATACAGAAGTTGTTGACTGCCAGGTTTGACACTTTGTTTGTGAATCATATCTTCAAGCTGCAATAATTTGCCATAGTCTATAGGGTAGATATCCCCCTGATCCAGCAAAAACAATGATTTAAATGGTTGACACTGATCATTGTTATTTTTGTGGACCAAATCATCCCTGTAGGTATACTCAAACTGCGTTGGGCTGCTGCAACTGGAGCCATTTGGTGAGTGGGCTGCTTCAAACTGGATTGGATGGTTTATCTTCTTAAAGCAGGCTATCAAGTTCCTTAAGCACTGTTTTAGTGAGCCTGTATTCCAAATGTTAACCAGAAGAAAGCCCTCTTCTGTCATTGAGTCCTCTTCGAATGTTGACTGTTGAGGCTGAAGTTCTACCTCGAGTGTTGACTGTTGAGACTGAAGTTCCTCCTTGACTGCTGACTGTTGGGACCGAAGTTCCTGTTGGTTTGTTGACAGTTGGGGCTGTGCAGGAGCACTTGGGAAACAGAAGAGATCAATTTGTCAGCAGCTACAGGTTAGCGATTTCGCGATGGGATCTAAAATAAATGGGTAACTCACATGGCGGGGGCAGCAGCAACAGCAGCCGGACGAATCAGACTGACGAGGAGCCGCGTGCATCTACCAAAAGCTTTCATCGTCGCTTTATAGATCAATTGGCCACGTCTCCGTCTCCGTCTCCGCCCTGCTTGTCGAGGGCCCCGTCCCAGTAGAAACGCAATCGTCCATCCATATCTTACGACCAAAAGCAGAAAAATAAACAAGACCCTAAGTCGCGGATCCTGTGTAGAGCTGGCAAGCCCATCCACCCCAGATTCTTCCTAGAAAGGAGTAGAATAGTAATATCAACTACAAAGTGGTGAAAAAAGAAGAAGAAATGGTAGAAATAAACCTAGATTTCGACGGCAGTTCATGTTCATATATAAGGGGAAAAAGGAACAAGCACAACGACATGCCGGCGCAATTAAATGAAGAATCGAAGGAAAAGGGGGGCCGATCCAAACCTCCATGCCGAGTAGGGGTGACGAGATACACCAGGGTCCAGGGATTGAGGGATCTCGCGAAAGATCGAGGGGGGGGGGAGGTGAAAAGGGATGACTCGTCGTGTACTGCCAAAAAGAACAGCGCCTGAAGGTTTTTTTTGGACTTTTGGGCGGCGGCGGCGGAGGCCGACTGGCCGAGGTCGCTACTGCGCGCGTGTGGGAGCCGCCACTGCGCCACGTGTGTGGCACGCCGCACTCCGACAACGAGATAGAGAGGACCCAGTACTTTGGCTGCTTCCCGCTGGGTTCCCAGTTCTAACGGGCCGCTCTCCGGTCTATTTGGAAGCCCACGACATGGGGTATGTCAGCCTCGTGGAAGCTTGTTTTTGCACGACGAAACACGCCTGGCAATGCTCCCCTGCGACTGCGAGTGCTCCCGTTTCATTTTTTTTCTTTTCTTTTCTTTCTTTTTTTGTTATTCTTTTATTTTTTTAACTTTTTTTTTATTTTTTTCTTTCATTTTATTTTACTTATTTTTTCTTTTTTTACTATTTTTTATTTATTTCTACTTATATTTTCTTTTTTTCTTATTCTTTTCTTTTTTGTTTTCTTTCTTGTATTTATTTTTTTGTAGTTTTTTATTTTATTCTATTATTTTTTTCTTTTGTTATTTTATTTTATATAATTTTTTTTTCATGTTTTCTTATTCTATTTTTTCCATTCTATATTTTGTTTTATTTTCTTGTTTTTGTATTTTACTTTAATTATTTTATATTTTCTCTACTCTATGAGATATACGAGATATTTACGTAGCATACATGAGAAGTTCATGTGGTATATATTTGATGTTCTATGATGTATTTTATGGTGTTCGAGTATACCTGCAATGTTCTAATTTGGGATGTTCGGTAGTATAATTGAGATGTTCTACAACTATCTTTCAGTATTCACATAATATCTGTGATATGTTCTATAGTATATTTTAGGTTGTTTAAATAGTATCATGTGATGTTCTTTAAGGACACTCGGCGCATAGTAGCCCCTGCTAGGCCATCGCTGCAATCACCCACGACAGACACCCGATACTCAGCACCGGCAAAAGCATCCCCAATAAGGCCAGCGCATCTCCCGTGTGCAGCCCCTGAGAGGGGTGCGACTGAGTGCGACCGCCGAGGCCCAGTCCAAATTTACCAATCATTATTGTTAACTTGAGACAATATTGTTTGATTTGCTTGCGCTTTGGAAGTATAAGTAGACACATATATATGGCCTTATGGACCCATGACACTGAGTTCACTGTAGAGCCCTTGAAAACATAGGACCAGCCCTGGTGTTAAGGGACTGGTGGGTGGTGGCGCATCACCCGACGCACGGCGACGCATCCCCCAAGACATAGCCTCCTCCGCGTGCGTCAACGGCGAGAGCGTGCAGATCTTCTCAGGTGTCCCGTCCACTACTCATATGCGTCATCGGTGTCCGATGCGGTCATTCAAAAGAGTACAAAAATCTAAAAATCCAAGGTGAGCTCCAACCTTAAGAGCATCTCCAGTATGGCCCCCAAACTAAAATTTGAGGACTTACAACAAAAACACAGGTCCAGCAGCACCCCTACTCAAGCCCCCAAATGTGAGGGACCTCAAATCCAACCCCTCAGCCCTCAATCCTGTGGGCGTCCACCCCAGCCAACATCTAGCAGTTGGCCGTTTTTCTTTGGTGCACGCTTCTCTTCCCTGACAAGACCCACCTACAGCTAGAGAAGAAGACCCACCAGTGGACCTCCTCCACGCCTGTGCTTAGCTCGCCACCTTCTCCTCACCGCCACTAGATCTGACCTCCTCCTTGCCGTGGCTGTCAACCGGAGAAGAAGACACCCCAGATCCAGCCAGATCCAACCTCCTCCTCACGCAAGTGCGAGGCCACTAGAGATGCCCACTACTACACAAATGATTTTAGGAGGCAGTGCCCAAACATTAACGGAGGTGGACACAAAATCCAATCGCCTCATAAAATAATGGGCTATTAATGGAGGCAGTCATTTTTATTTACCGAGGTGGTCACGTTCGCCTGCCTCGTAAAATCGATTTATGGAGGCGGTCAAAATCCAACCGCCTCCTAAAATCGATTAACGGAGGCGGGCGCCTTAAGACAACCGCCTCCAAAAATGGCCTATTTTTGGAGCCAGTCGTCTTAAGGTGCCCACCTCTATAAATCTATTTTCAGAGGCGGGCACACTATAAAGCCCGCCACTGAAAAAGGCCGAGGCCCAATGGGCCCAGACAAGGCCCGATAGCTGTCTTCATATAAATAGAGGAAGTTAGGGTTTCTTCCTTCAGTCACTCTGTCTTCCTCTCCATCTCCCTCCTCAGCCAAGGGTGGTGCTCTCCCTCCAACTCCCTCCGAGCGGGCTGCCCCCTCCAACTCTTTCGTGCCCTCTCCCTCCCCCACGCCCCTCCCTCTCCCCCGCATCCTCCCTCTCCCCCGCGCCACTCCCTCTCACATCTCTCAGCACACGGCAGTGCAAGTCCCAGACGGCGGAGGCGGAGGCCCTAGCGGGAATCCATGCGTCCCAAACAGCGGAGGCGGAGGTTTGCGCGACCCTAGAGGCAGAGGCCCTAGTGCGGCGGAGGGACCTCTATGGTGGGCGTGGATGATGACAGGGAGGTCACACAGGCGGTGGATCTGAAGCGGGCAGTCGTGGGGGCCCTCGCAGCGGTGGATCTAAAGCTAGAGCATGGGTGGAGGTCGCACTGGCAATGGAGGCGGTGGATCTACGATGAGAAGGCAGATCCAGCGCGAGGCCTCCTCGTCTCCACCAGATCTGGCTATAGGAGATCCACTGACGGGGCGTCCAGGTGTAGATTCAGCGGCGGCGACGACGCGTCCAGGTGAAGATCCGGTGGTGGCGGAATCTAGGATGACAGCGGCGTGGCTGGGCTCGACGTCAGGCCCATAGAGGCTATCGTTGGGCTCAGCTGCTTTTTTATTATTTTAATTTCATTTATGGAGGCGGGCAAAGCAACCACCTCCATAGGGCACGGATTAACCGTGACCTTTGATTGGAGGCGGTTGGATTGCCCACCTCCATTAATCATTCTTGCCTACCTCTAATAAAATTTCTACAGTAGTGGCCCCCTCCTCTCCTCCTCACGTGGCTGTTGCGGTCTCCTTTCCTCCTCCCCAACCGCAGTCTTGGCAGCTCCTCCCGAGCTGCAAACCCCGCTACCGCTCCTCCCGCGACTCCCATGGTAGCTCCTTCCAGTAGCTGCTCCCCAGATCCAGAGAATGATGGGGAGGAGAAGACGGCAAGGAGAAGGGGGGAGGTGTGGGAGGTGAAAGGGGACCGTGACGCCTAAGAGGGGGGTAAATTAGGCAACTTAAAATTCTGACTCTAAATAAGACATCTTTTTCTAACCTTAGCAAAACCTATACAAAAAAGATAAACTATCTAAAGGTACAACTACGGTTTTACTAGTGTGTTGCTATCTCTACCGCAAAAGAAGTTATGCAAACAATGTAAATGCGGAAGCTAAAGAGTAAGGTAGAGATATGCAAACTCCCAACGATGACTCCAGTATTTTTACCGAGGTATCGAGAAGCGCGCAAGCTTCCCCCTAGTCCTCGTTGGATCCCCTCACAAGGAATCCCTTGAAAGGGCCAAGCTCCCGGTCGGGTAACTCCGTGGATAGCCCCGGGCCTTCCTCACGTGCAAGTGGGTCTCTAGTGTGCCTTCCGACAAGCCTCTCCCGGACCGCTCCCCGCCGTCTTCACTATCAACCTTTCGGTCGAACCGCCGCGGGCCTTGTTCCCTTCGGTACACGGTCACGGCTACACCATAAACGCTGTTGGTGTGATCTCGCAAGACTACAAGCCCCTTTGATGTACAACAATGGTGCGCACAAGCACCGAGTGGTAAGAGGTATGCAAACCTCACTAACCACTAGGCCTAAACCTAGAGCAAGCACATAAGCGGTGGTCTAATCAACCTAAGCACTTTGCAAAGCACCTACGCTAATCATCTAATGAATCACTAAACACTATGCAAGTGGAGATCACTAAAATGGTGTATCAACACCCTTGGTATGTTTCCTTAGCTCCAGACTTGTCAAATGGGCGGTTGGGGGTCTATTTATAAGCCCCACTGAGAAAGTAGCCGTTGGGGATGAAACCCGCTTTTCTGCTACTAACCGGACGCTACTTTCGTCCTGACCGGACGCGCCCGGTCGTCCCGACCGTTAGAGCACGTGATCAACTATCGGACGCTGATGGCATCCGGTCACATGCCACTAAACACGTCCGGTCGCAACTTCACCGCTTTGGAACCTCTCTAGATTCGATCGAACGCTGTAGTTCCTGCGTTCGGTCGCAATTTCGCCGCTCTAAAACCTCTCTGGACTCGATCGGATGCTGCAGTTCCTGCGTCCGGTCTATCACCCTCCAGCGTCCGGTTAGTGTTGAGTTGTTGTCGCGACTGTGAACAGTGTCATCGTCATGTTCGGTCACTTTTAGTACTCAGTGTCCGGTCGCTGCTGCAGATGCCTGATGTTGCCGAGCAACTGATCGGATGCGTTCGGTCCCTGTAAGGGCTGTGTCCGATCGCTGCGTTCGGTCACCTCTGTGAAGCTCGTTTCTTCACGATCTTGCGTCCGGCTTGGTTC